TAAAATAATGCCCCCTTTAGGAGAATTTCACTCAGATTTCCCTTCAGCTGCTAATGGCACCATAGATAACTGGACTGTCTATTTGAAATCTAGAAACCAAGGGCAATAATAAAATAGAGAGTTGAAAAGATAAAGTGGTAGTGAATTTGTGGTGATTTTTAAAAGTGAACAGTCAGAAGTTTTCTACCCATGATCAGGAGACATTTCCTGTGTAACTACATCTACTAGAATATAAAAAAGAAAAACCATGATTTTAAATACCAAACACATCCACTGTATAAACCCAGAGGCAGTTAATATCTTTAATGAGGACAAAAGCACACAGAAAAACAATTATGTTTCTTTTAAATCATAGTTTACAGCAAACTAATTGAATTTAAAGGTAATTAAACAAGGAAATATCAATTAGATACCTATTGTCTCTCTTGTGTAATTAAAATGTGTTATTACTGATGCTTCATAATTGTTGTTGAGCAGCTTTTTAAATCCTAGCATTAGTTTTCCAGAAAAGAAACTGAAAAGTGTTAGATATTGTCAGATATTTCTCACTCTCAGGTGGTGTTTATAGGAAGTACTTTATAACAACCAAATCCCAACCAACTGAGCTACCATGAGCATCAAGCGATTTGCTCCAAAACATGTTGATTTTTAAGGCAATTGAATCCGTGTCGACCCTGCTTGTTAGGTAACTATATACAGATAAAAAAAGAAATGGGGAACTGAAAAGGTCTGTTTTAATCTCAAAAGGCATTGTATTTTCACCTTCTTCCCCCTTTTTCTAAATGAGTTACCGGGATGTGAACATACCTGAAAGATGCTATACTTCAAAGTTCCAAGTGATCGGACGCTTCATGAATCTCATACTGAGGTTGTACAGGACAAGTCATCTTTAATAGCATGACACTTGGCTGCTGGTGGACTTCTTCATTCTTCAGTGCCCTCATTCAATCTCTTTGATGTATCTTTCCCCTCTCTTAGCACCATAATAGGTAAAGCTTATTCTCATCCATGTTAAAATTGTACTTCACACTGATTTATCACAGAGTATCATGGCAATATCTTCTCTTTTCTGGATTTTAATACCCACGATCTCATTAGTGTTCCTGAAATCCAGAAAATAATATCAGGTACTATTTTAAATATCTTTGAAAATATTTACCAGAGATTCAGAAAGATACTATCACCAAACCTAGTCATATGGGCCTATAATCCCCATCACTTAGGAGGATAAAGGAGGAATATACCAACATTCAAGGTCAGCCTGAACTACAGAGTAGCTACAAAGCAAGCCTAGAAAACTCAGTGAGAGGCTATATCAAAAGTCAATGACAGTTGTTGATGTAGCTCAGTGGTAGATTATTACTCTACAATATAGAGAAAATTAGATTCAATCTTAACTTCATAAAACGATAATTTGCAAAATGAAATTTAAAACTTGACTATATTTCAGAATGTGTGTTTGCACATAGCTTTCAGTACACACACACACACAAACAAACACACATACACACACAAACTCTCAGCCATGAAAGACTGGGAAATAAGTGAAAATGCCAGCATTTTCTGCAGTATGTTCTACTCTTCTTTAAATATGCCCCATGCCACATGTATATCAATTTCTCCTAGAGTTCATTTCCTGTTTATATATAGAGAGGGCACACTACTTAGCATTTAAAGAAGAGTTTGGATAATAATGCCCTGGTGGTTTATCTCCTAAACTGAGAAAACAAGAGGTACAATGTCTATAAGAGGAATCATATTGACCTAATAGAGTCTACATTACCCTATGCAAATCTAAATATTTGTCTTGCCTTCTTGCCTCTTCTTATTATATTTTCTTGAAGGTTTTGGGTAGATTCCTCCCCCAGACCGTCACTGCACTTAGTATCTCTGGTGATTCATCACCCAGTTATTATTATTTGGCTCATTTGGTATGATCCATTCACTGGTGATATCGTATCATAAAAAGCTGTATTTTGGGTTGCTCTTGTCATCACAACTAAGCTAGTGGACAACTGTTCCTTCTGAACAAAACATCCTTGAAGAGATTTTTTTTTATACCAGAGTCATCTTTGTACTTTGCTACCCACAAAGTGAATCGCCATATTTAGGAGGAAAGGAGATGGCCAGTGCAGAGCTACCTACGTGACCTATGCATTCAGAAATTTCGGATTCCTCCCAACTTTGGGATACTGTGGTTTGTCATCTTCTTGAAATTCCACTAAGTGTTTCTAATTTTCTAGAAATTTGCTTATGAACTCAAAAGGGAGAAGTGGTTGCATTCATTTCTTTGTTTTGTTTTGTTTTTGAGAAGCACTTGTTTCGCTGCTGATCTTGTCTCTTTGATAAATCTGTAGATATCCAAGTCAGAAGGACTTCTTAAGAAAATGGTTTTAAAAAACACCTAAAAGAACTTGATTACAATTAGGACTATCAATTACTTTTGTTTTGCCTTTAAATGCTATTTCATTTTCCCAGGTCAGGCTTCTGTTACCCAATGTTAAAATGGATGGTCCCACTTAGCAAAAAAAAAAAAAAAAAAAAAAAATTGGTGTTGTATTGAAACTGGCTACTGATTTTAATTTCTCACTTACTATACCTCAAAAGAACATCTGTACCATTAACCACTTAATTAGCACAGAAATGTCTTTTTCAAACTGTCCCAGAGTACTGTGATAAATTGGGATAGGTAGCTGAATGTACATCCTAATAATAAGCAGAACACACATAGAATCTTTTGATCATCCCTAAAGTCATGTCTTGATTGAGATCAGTCTTTATTTTTAGGCTGTGATCCCCAGCTGGTCTGTGATTCCAATATATTGGACAGGAATAGACATCTAAATAATTGTGAGGCATAAATCAATAATCAACTGGTTTGTTCACTTCTTAGAACATAGATAGGAATTATAAGGCGGTAAAGAGAAATTCTTGCAGCACGGTCAGTCCAGTACAAGTGAAGGCCTGTGGGTGAGGCTGGCAGACCTGAATAAGGACAGTAACAAACCTGAAAACTAGTGGGCTTTATTACCAGACTTTTGAAGTCAGAGATGTATGGTGCTAAGCATTCACTCTAGAAGTTTATTGCTTTAACCTGTAACCAATTCTGGCCCTGATACTTGGCAGCAATTATAATTCCTTGGCTTAAAGTAGAAGCAGCAGCGGACAGACTCAGGCAGCAGAAGGCAGTACCTGCTAATGTTACAGCTCTCACAAAAACCTTGAATTATGGGAATCTCAGCCACTGTAGCAGCTGCTATCGCTCCCATACCTAAGTATCAGGTTTTGCCATCTGTGGCTGGCGCGACAGACCTAGACCTAGGGTGCCTGAAACCTTTGGTCCTTAATTGCTTGACAGCATCCTGGAACTTGTGAAGCAACTAGGGTCCACAGTTTCTCACCTTCACCACACAGCCCATTGTCTTCTTTACTTCTGCTTCCCATTATTTTGGCTGCCAATGCTCTCTAAAACGACCCCATTGCCTTGTCTTCACTACTGCTGCTACAAAAGTGGATGCTCCTGTCCCCAAAGCTAGAGCGTGGCTACTGCTTTTGTTATCCTGTCTTCCTCCTGTCAGCTCATCCCATTCTACCAACATGAAAACACAAAGAAGACAGACAACAAATAAAAGTCACCTCTACAGAAACCTTGTATTTGACCCAATAGCTCTCCCCATATGACTGGAAAAGTGAAATAAATTGATCTTTATTCAAAAGAAGTAGTTTGTGAGAACCAATCAGAGGTCTTCTACTGGGTTTAGAGTAGATGAGATGCTTCCCTGGCCTGGGTGAGAAAGGCTGAAGGGTGTCTACCAAATTCTGTCCTTAAGAATACTGCTTTTAAAGGCCTATGCCAACTGTCAGGAGCATGTCTGCAGCCATGGTTACACAATCCCTCTCCTTGAAGCTGTTCCAGTATCCTTTCCAGGGACTGTAATGTGACCAAACAGTTGTGCTGCCATGATGTAGTCTTGCTGATATTTCTAGACTCAAAGTGTCTAGGATACAAAGAAAAAGTCTAATAGCTGCCAACTAGGGAACTCAAATCACCCTACCTTCAACTATTTTATTTTAAAAAGAGATAAATCTTTAAAAGGTGTTTACAATAAAAGCTTAACTAGGGTCATTTAAGTACTCAACAATGTTTACCTAATATTTCCTTACCTCCCTACCTCAGAGGGGCAGATGGGTCTCCTCCAATCTCTCCCATACAGAATCCAATTTTCTCCTCTTACAGAAAAGTACTGATAGCATCTACCATATCCCCAATATTCCCATAATTGAGCCATTATTTTTCACACGTGGGAATTGTTAGGCATTTTGATGTATCGGGGTTGCCATGGTGGTGGTGTTGCTGTACACAATTTATCAAGAAATCATTTTTAGAGTTTTTGTTCCTACCCCTGTGTCTTTGAGACACCTTAACAAGACTGCTGACTTTCCCTTTGACAGACTTCCACAAGGTCCTTAGCTTCAACCTAAGTTCTAATGATGGGCTGGGCACAAATCATAAAATGGAACCACTACCCTAGACTTCTCAGGGAGGCCTCTTAGGTTTCTGTAGTGAGCAGATACTGGCCACAAAGTAACTGAAAGGTAATTCCAGATTGTTACAAGTATCAGAGAAATGTGTGTTCATTTGAGTCATTGTGTTTTCTTCAATCACAGCCTTCCTAGGCTACTCCGGAATACAACAGAGATTATCTTTATGGCACAGGTGTCTTCAAGATGGAGACACACTGAGACCTTCCCACCACAACCGTCATGAGGACCTCTCCTGCTATTTGCCCTAACATTCAGGTAACCATGGCATCCATGTCAGGCTCCACTAGCCATTGGCTCTCCGAGATAATGCCTTCTTTGGAGCACAGCATTCTGAAGAAGCAAGCGTTGCCAGCATCCTCGAGATGGACCCACTGCGCATGCACACTTGGCCCAGCGGCCTGCGCAGACGCGGTGGTCAGCTTCCGGTCGCCAAGGTGGGGCCAAGAGCGCTCGCCATGTCTTGCTACAGCCTCCCAAAGTACAAGACGGGGGACCTGGTGTTTGCCAAGTTAAAGGGCTATGCCCACTGGCCAGCCAGGATCGAGCATGTCGCTGAACCCAACCGCTACCAGGTCTTCTTCTTCGGGACCCACGAGACGGCCTTGCTCGGTCCCAAGCACCTCTTCCCTTACGAGGAGTCCAAGGAGAAGTTCGGCAAGCCCAACAAGAGGCGAGGCTTCAGCGAGGGGCTGTGGGAGATCGAGCATGACCCAATGGTCGAGGCCTCCCCTTGCCTGTACTCAGAGGAGGAGCAGCCCTGTGACCAGGGTCCTGGGCAAGGGGAGGAGCCGGAGCCCGGGGAGGAGCCGGAGCTGGGGCAGGAGCTGGAGGAATCCCTACCTGAGCTGGAGGAATCCCTACCTGAGCTGGAGCCCGAGTCCCGACCCGAGCTGGAGCCACAGGCGGGGCCTGAGATCGAGTGTGAGCAGGAGCCCGAGCCACAGCCTGCTTATGACCTGCTGGACGTCGTGGACGACGAAGAGCCGGGCCTTGCCGAGGCCGAGCCAGGAGATTGGCTGGCCGAGCAGGTGGGAGAGCAGCATGCTGAGGTCGAGGCCGAGGCTGAGGCCACGGAGCCAGGGCGTCTGAAGAGGAGCGCGGGAGACCAGCTTCAAGATGCCCCCAAACGGCCAAGGGAGGCGGCGCCCGGCCCGCTGGAGATGGAGCCGGCTGGAGAGCGCGAGGAGGCTGAGGCCTGCCCCATCGTGGAGGAGCCTGAGGAAGCCCAGGGGCAGCAGCCTCCGTTGGAGGAAGAGGCCACAGAGGAGGCGGTCCAGGCCCTGCTTGATGGAGAAATGGAAGGCCTGTAGTCACGGTGTCTGTAGAAGAGCCCTTTACCCGTTCCTGGTACCACCTGACTGTGACTGCCAAAACCCACTAGGGTTCAGCCCTCACCCCACTCCACAGCTCCTTCATTTACTCACCTTCTCCAAGCCCAAATTCCTGGGATGGGTCAGATAGACCGCTTGATATCAACTTCGTGACTTCATTCGCGGCCCCCTTCCCTCCCTAAACTCTGATGGGCATTTTCTATCTCTGCCTGGATACCAGGAGTGAAGGGGGTGGAGGATAGAGAGCAGAAATGACTTTCAAAGGTCTGGGAGGGGCAGTGTGTAAACTGGTGACTTTGATCCTTTGGGATCATGATCGTAGTCTCCCCAAGTCCCTGTCTCCTCCTCCCATAGCTCCATCCCCAGTTGTATAGGTTTGGTGGGGGAGGGACCAGTAAAATTTTCTGTTGTCCTAGGCAGTTTGGAGGTTGACGTTCTTTGTTTTGTTTTTCATTAAAACATTTGGGGCTCTCGTGTTGTGAGATCTGAAGACTTTGCCTGTCCTTTTGGATTGAAGTGCTGAGACATTATCCTTTCCATATCTCTTGGACCACTGAAGGATGCCCTTGGGGAGACCTCTGCTGCCCCTCTCAATTCACCTTGGAGCCCTAAGGCCTTTTTTCTTATATATCACTAGGACATAAGACTTTAGGAATCACCTTTGTTTTAAGAGGAATTTTATTTTATTGATTTAGAAAAACCTTTGCTTATGCCTGCTCCTAGTTTTTCCACGACCAATCTCATTACCATATGAACCAGGAATTCCATTTTTATTTGGGATTTGATGACCTTCTTGTTGGGGCTTTTCTCTCCTTATGATGCTATTTCCATCTGCATGTACCACCTGGGCCCCTCAGTGTTGTCACCTGCAAAACGTAATGAACTGAGAAGTTGAGTGTCCCTTCCTAACGTCTTGTCTCTACCTACCTTTGTACCCTTTTATCCCTGCCCTTTTCCCTTGGGCTCTGATTGAAAAAAAAAATTAACTATACTTTTGGAGATTTAGGTCTGAGAACCGTAGACTATTTCAGTTCTAGGAAATAAAACCGTTGATTATTTTAAAACAAATCGTCTCAGGCCTGTTCCTTTGATGTCCAAAGAATTGAGTTTTGAATGCGTTGCTCCTTTTGTAGCGCTGAAAGCAAGGACCTACAGAAGAGGATGCTCTTGGAGAAACCTTTGTTTCTCTTTGCCACCACCTTTCATTCCTTAAAGTACTCACTAGCGCCCATTCAGATGAGTGGACCAGATTACGAAGTTTGAATGGTGACAAACTGCACATCGCCTTTCCAATCTAAATGCACTGTGAGGATTTTTGGTTTGGAGAGCATGGGTGAAAGGATTGGTTTGGGTTCTTTTGCTTCAATTTTCCCACCTTTTCAATTAACACTGCCTTCTTTAGCACCTTCGTCATGAAAGTATAGTTGCTTCATAGTCCCAGTTGTAAAAATATGTAGTATCTATACAATATTTTGGGCCTTTTTGTACAACTAGATGAGGGAAATTTAAATAATTTTAGTCACATGTTGGGGATCCCAGACTCTGCATGAAGGATTGAGAGATCAATAAATACTACAGTCCACCTCAAAGACCACTACTTAATCCAACACTAATCCTGCATTCTACACTAGTAAAAATTTCTTCTATATTATCAGCTATGTATGTCAGGTCATTGTTTTTCAATAATTGATACTGCATTAATAGTGGAAATTTACTGCTTACTGAGTTACTAGCCCAGAACCTGAAGTATGGCCTTATTCAGCTTTTATACAATCAGCCATGATAGCTGTTATTACCCAGTGTTTCCCCTAAAAGAACTCTCTTGCAAAGGTTCCGTGCTTTCCATCGAACTCCCGAGACTCAAACACAGATTTCTAAAACTTTCTAAAAGCATTTCTTTTGAATTGTGCCTCCAAAACCCACTATGAAACCAGAAGTTAATAAAGTAGCTATTCTAGCATAAGTAACCAAGACAGTAGCTAATTTCTGAAGTGAGCCTCTACTTTTTGTACACAATGTCTTTATAATGCAGCCATCCAATTAGACAGCTACTATTATCTCTGTTTTAGACCTGAGGGAGTCGAAATTCAGCAACATTAAGTAATTTTCCCAATGGCAATTAGTAAGTGATAAACCATGATTCAGACTCGTGTTTTCTCTCATTCTAAACGATAGGTGCTTTGTTCCATTTTATTCTGTCCTATTATATAAAACTTCCTATTCAGCTGAGAGCTTTTACTATCTTCTGTTTTGAAGTGAACATTAAGAAATTTGTGGGGGGGAAACCTGCATTAGCAGACATTGCTTATAGGTGTTTAATGTCATGTTGGGACGTGACAATTGTTTTGTGTATAAATGACTTGGTGAAGGAATGAGGACAATTGCACATTCAGTACTTTTCAAAATACCTGAGACAATAGGAGGTTTGAATATGGGTTGTCGTATTTGCCAGAGGCAAGTTTAAGATCTTGATAATGTTTTGGTGGAGGTATATTGTCTGCAATGATTCAATAGCCTGAAAGAAGGGAAATGAGTTTACTCACTCTTTGTCCCTCTCCCTGTCGTTTCTTTCTGCTTTTGTGTTTCTTTTGTTGGGGATAGAAAAGGGTCTCATTAGAAGTGATTCTCACACTTACCTTCTTCTTAACTGTAATGTAGGGAAAATGATAGTCTAGCCGCTAGGACTTATAAATAATAACATCACCATTTTTTGGACCCAGTTCTAACCCAACAAAGAACAGAGAAAATGGGTGGGGGAATCTCTACTCTCAACCCTTTTATCAAGATAATAGAAACCATTATGTGCTGTGGTCACCAATAGATGCCTTTGTCTTAGACTGAAATTCAAGCTGTTTAAAATTCCAGGAACCCCAGGGTTGCTTTTGTTTTCCTCTGAACAGTTTATGCCTCAGTAACAGAATTACAGATAAATGATTAGCTTACCTTTCTGAAAAAAGCTGGCTGCTTGATCTTTCTCTGAAGCCGTGTTACACTAATCAGCCATGCCCGTGCTTTCTCTGATGGCTGTGTTTAAGATGCCCCAAGCAAAGGTGTGCTTGACAGTGATGCTGCTTTAAGGACATGTTATAGGGACTGAGTTCTGTAATAATTTCAAACAATTCAATATTTCACACAATCATCACTTTGGCAAAGGACTAAGATTCTGCCGAGACTTGAAAGTTTTGTTGCTTAATTTTAGCCAGGATTTAGCTTTCACTTGCTCTGCAAATTTGAATCCAAAGTAACAACTGTTCCTTGTGGCACATAGCTCCATTGCATTAAAAAAAAATAGATCAGATATTAAAACATTCAGACCACCTTCACTTTATTTTGGTGTCAATACTTGCCACAGAAGACCTTCTGCCCCGTATTTCTTGCATGCATAGCTCCTTTTATTTAAAAAGAAGTCCACCATCTTCTTCGCATGGTTGACCACTCAAGATAAGATCCACCCATGTCTGTTGCCACCACTGTGTGTTCACACTGATTATAACCTAATGTAATTGCTTCTTCTTCTTCTTCTTTTTTTTTTTTTTTTTTTTTTTTTTTTTTTTTTTTTTTTTTTTTTTTTTTTTTTTTTTTTTTTTTTTTTTTTTTTTTTTTTTTTTTTTTTTTTTTTTTTTTTTTTTTTTTTTGGTTTTTCGAGACAGGGTTTCTCTGTGGCTTTGGAGCCTGTCCTGGAACTAGCTCTGTAGACCAGGCTGGTCTTGAACTCACAGAGATCTGCCTGTCTCTGCCTGTAATTGCTTCTTAAACTCAAATATTTTATTAGTCTTTACTTCTATACTAAATCAAGCCACAATAAGCACACAATAGTTACTTGCTACTTTATTACTTTATAAATGTTTGAAGGTCAGTTATCAAGTACCCCTAGTAGTCATGGTGATGACTTAGCAGCTGTGATGGGATGTTGAGCATACTCTGTCAGAAAGCAGACTGAAGGTGTCTTTGCCTATAGACTAATGACAAAAGCTGCTTGGTTGGAGGAATTCTGTATCCACGTGAGTAGCTGGCTATTTTATTATGGTGACTTGAAAACCTGATTGACAGTACTCAAAGATCTGAAGAAACTGGTCAATGTCAAAGAAAAAAATTGCCTTTTCTTCTCCCCGCTTCTTCTTAACGAGATTTATAATATTTACGTTATTTGTTTCAGTTAGGCCACAGGCAAACAATGCATGCGTCCTCTTTTGAACAGGATGGATTCTGATGGTTTTTGGACCTGAGCCACAAATTGACCATTCCGTAACAAAATTTTACAACAGTGGAGGTGAGTATGCCAGAGGGAATCTCAGGCTCTTGGTCAGGTACACATTCCCCATAATCCCTCTTAGAGTTTAATGTACTAAAGGAATGGAACCGGTTCACTTACCTGTGGCTGGTTCCCAGCCTCCCTTGCCTACTGTCTTCCCCAGCTACAGTTCTCTGTTCCACTCCTGGTGAACAAACTGGTCGTGGTAGTCTTTGAGACCATAGAGATATCCTAACATGATTTTCTATGGTAAGTCAGGGAATTTTCTCCTTGTAGTCTGACTTTACATGTAAATTTGAAGTGTACTACTAACTTGGTCAAGACTGCAAGTGGAGTCCAGCATGGTTAGTTACTCCTGCTCTTACCAAATACTGGACAAGAAACAACTTCTAGGGAGAAAGGTTTATTTTGGCTCACAGCGTGGGGGATACAGCTTCCCACGCAGAGGAAGTGTGTTCCACAGGTGTGGCAGGATAAACTTGCCAGAGAAAGGAGTGATCAGTCCACTTTCTGCTTTTCCTCCTCTTTTATTCAGTCTAGGAATCTAGCCCATGGGATGGTGCTATCTACATTCTGTAGCAAGATTAATAAAAACCTAGAGACAGACATTGGGGTTCAACCGGAAGATCAGAAAAGCTAAGTAGACACGCCACTACAGAGCTCTTACCTCAATGAAATCTTCATGAAAGAGAGCAAGTTCCTGTCTCATCCATCCCACCTTATATTC